GGTTAAACAACCCCGACTCTACCTGGACAGCCATGCTTTCCCTCCCAATGCTAACTCAGTAGTGAGGTCCGTCATGATCTGTAGCTAGATGTTACTCACCGAACAATTACGGCTCCGCAGAGATCAAATGAGGCAACGGCAGAGTCACAGACCTGTTCCAAGCATTTACAAATATGAGTAAGGCTTCAGTCATCTCTGCTTACTCACTGTCTGAGAACATAGAGTTATTTGGTGACTTCCACCAAGCGAGAGACTTTTTCCACCCGTTTGGTACTTTGTATGTCAGTATGTCGGGGTGGTTGGATAAAGACTGGGAAAAAACAGCAGAACATCCAGTAAGAGATGACTGGAACAAAAACTAATAGTTGGCCAGCTTTCCAAATAGAGATCCATTATGGATTACGCTCGTATAAACATCTGTCTGGAAACGGAAAGGTCAGTTGAATAACTCCATATTGTACAGCTTGGAAATTGTAAATTGTAAGTGATACTTACTCTGATAAACGATGCTTGCCTTTAAAATCAAAATAAATTGACATTTGCAACCCATTTTACATATGTAAATGGTTGTATATGAATATTATGTTGCTCTCAACAAGAAAAAAATTAGGTCAAGACTGCTGATTTTTTTCCATTGGGAATTCACTGGATTGGGAAAACTGGGCGTTTTGAGAAAGCAGCAAGGTGATTGGAAGGAAAAAGTTGGATTTATGACATCAGGGTCAATTTCATGCTCCTGTTAAAACAAATTGCTGAAATTGTGTTTGAACCATCAGGATGAATCTTTCAGGTTGCATAACGTATTCCCAAGAGAAAATGTAATCCTGGTGAAAACAGTTGGAACGGGACACGGGTATCTGCGTATTTTGGACACCTTTCCTCTTGTATTGCGCGCACGTGGGCTGACAATCATGTTCCAAATCAAAAACGTCACGCACTCATTCTTTTCCAGATCACGGTTAAGGTCCATCCATCAGTGCAGCTTGTAGATATGCCAATGTGAAAGCATTAAGGCTGAAAAATGTCTGCGATAAACTGTTTCCACTTATTGTTTAAAGGACGGAGGATTTCGGAGGATTCCAGAAGGGTTTTAATACCCTCTGAATTGCTTTGACTTCTTTAATCTCTTCTAACTCACTGCAGAGCTTCTGAACACTGTCATCCAGCCGTTCTGCTTTGATAGACCTGCATTATTATCCCTCATGCTGTCAGTCACTCAACCCCTCAGCTTTCAGAGGCTTTTTCCAAGGTCTTATCCCAATAACTCATACGTCCGCTCTAAACCAGTTTGTTTATTCATGGTCAAAGGCTCCTAGATGAAGAACGACAGGTTCGGTGGGGAATCTGAGATTGGTCAACGTGATAATCATGGACCTGGTTTTGATTAACTGGGCAGCCTAGAAAAAGGCATCATAGGCCGTATTTCATGTGCAAATTAAAGCATCGCTGTGAGGGATAGATGTACAGTCTATTTAATAGAGTGTACTGTCTTAAGGCCCTAATTTTGAAGTTTTTTTTTTTTTTGCCCACTGGAAAGAATGTTGTGGGGGCTGAATGATTTGCAACAAGGTAAATAACAATACAACCCACTGATCCTCACTTATTTCCAATTAAGCTTCATAGTTCTCGACATGTTACAAAAGAGTAAGCAGCAACATTACACTGCTTTCTAAAGGTGTGGTCACATTTATCATTGCTTTGTGTAATTTCGCATCCAGTAATTTCAATAGGAATCAGCACAAAGAAGAACTTCACTTCATGGACTTCCTGTGGCAAAGAAATTTCCCTATGCGAAATTTGTGCAGAGTTCAAGTTTAGTGGACTTTGACACAAATTCAATAGCAAGCATCTTTTTTTCGGCAGTGACCTATGCATGGGTGGAGATTCGCAACACAGCAAAACTGTGCCAGTACCAAAACGATCCAGCCAGTTTTGTATAAAACTACATATCAATATTCTAACCAATATTCCCTCTAAGCTGTGCGTGTGCACTTCATTCGTTTTGACCGCGCAGAAGAAATAATATGCCGCGCACAGGACAGATGCAAAAATAAGTTGGGAAAGCCATGTGATTTAAGTAGTTAAGTGCGAAATAATTGCAAT